GGGGGGATCTTTGCTTTTCTTTCCCACTCCCATGGTCAAAGCTAGAGAGAAATCTAAACCCCTTTGGAACTGTTAATAGTGTGTAGTTTGAGCATCTGTTGGGTGTAACTCAGGGTTTAAACCTACATGGGAACCTGTGTGTGTGTGTGTGTGTGTGTGTGTGTGTGTGTGTGTGTGTGTGTGTGTGTATGGTTTCATGTTATTTATAGCATGTTATGTGCAGTTGGATTAACAATAAACAAAAGCTTACTGGGACTCTGATGCAATGTCTTGGCACAACAGACTGAGGCACAGACACAGGCCGCATCTGTGTATGTCAACCTGATTAATAATGCGTTCCCTATCATGGTGCATACTGAAGATTGAAGTTAATTTTAGACATGGAAACATTCAACCCTATACCCTAGGCAAGGATTTGTTTCCTTTTTGTGTCTCTCCATCAGTCTACCACTCACTTTTAAAGCCTCTTGCTCTTTCAGTATGCCAACCAGCTGCAGTCATGGACATCAGCTTAGGAGAAAGGGAGCCATGGGAGTTCTGGCTTTTTAGAGTTATGTACAACTCAGCAGGAGGGTTTGATAGATATGCGGACAGTGACAGAAAAATGCAGAAAAATGAAGCAGAACCATTTGTTTTAGAAACAGCACAGCAGTATTCACTACAAATGCATATTTAATCAAGAATTAGGTTACCAGGATTCAAGCGAGCATCTGGTGTTTTTCCACTGCCTTCCTGTGTTTAGCTCCGTCCACCTTCTTGACAAAACCCTGGTTCCTCACCTGTCATCCACTCACAATGTTCAGCAAGGCTGTATTTACGATCAATGCAGTCATCTATTCCAGTTTGTCAGCTGCCGCATGGTGGTAACCAGGCCTCATTGCTTCTTGTTTACATGTTCATGCTCTGTACTTACCTCAGTCTCCTTGTGTCTCCAGTTTCCTCATCAAGTCACCGCTTCACTCCCCTGCAGCTTAATTACCTGGATGCTGGTCTCCTTGTCAAGATTCTCTGCACCTTTCTGCAACCCACTTGGTTGGAACCGCATTCACTCACTCACCTCTCGGACGCTCACTGGGTTGCCCTCCCCAAAGCCTCACAACCTCTGCCTGCAAGTAAGCCCACAGAATCAGTATTCCTCTCTCCTCCACTCATTAAGTCCTCACTCTAAGAACCTAACCAAACTCTCCCTCTGTTCTAGTGCCTCCACGTCAGAGACTCAACACTGCGTATCCTCTTGTTGTCATTTCCAGTTTCTGTTTTCACAGTGAAGCTTGTTAAAATCTTAACGCTGTTCCATTAGGTTTCCACATTTGAGTTCCCTCCCACGTACTGGCCTCCGGGCCCCCTTGAAATAGGTGTGTAAAGGAAGAAATGGAAGATATTTGATAGGACCCTTTGAGTAAATGTTTTCTTTCTCTCATTCCAGTATCATCAAAATAAGCCTGCAGACTGAAATGGAAACCCCACCCAACCTCAAACACACAAGTTAATTTCAGCCGTGCCCCTTTAATGTCAGTCTTCTGTTATGAAGCCAGGGATAAGCAGCAAAAAATAAAATAAATAAATAAATGAAAATTAAAAAGAAACAGAAAAAAACCCTATTAAATTCATTTCTGTGTGAAAGCTTGGAGCAAAGAGATATAATAATAATATCCAATCACAGTGTCATAGAGAAGGATATTAGTTTATGCCATGCTCTCTGTATCTGTTTCTGTTTTATTTGAACTTGAGCTGTGTGTGTGTGCGTGCGCAAGCATGTGTGTCCACATGTGTACTGAAATATTCAAAGTGGAGCTGAGGTACTTTACTCTTGCACTTGGTGATTGTGACGACCCTCTGCACCTTACCTTCCTATCTGTCTGTTTGTTAGGCTGCTGTGTCTTGCAGATCCTGCAGAGGAGGTGAAATCTGTGCAAAATCAGCAGTGGTGCTCAGTGTGGCAGTGCTCCATAAAAACACCTTAGAATCCTTTGGATTTTTCTTTTGGATTTTTGATTTTAGTTGCAGTTTGGTTTGTTTTCTTGCACAAAATCACTGTATTCATCACACCTTCATTCACTCACTCACTTACATCATCGGTGTGGTGTATAGCTCACTGGAATGGGCAAGCAATCCAGGTTCTGAAAGGCTGCAGCAGCCTGGGTTTGGTTTCATCCCAGACTATTTCCTGCATCATTCTCTCTCTCTCCAGTCTGTTCTCTGTGTTTGCTGTCTATTAATAATAGCTAAACATGGCAAAATAGGACTTCATTGGGTAATTGGTATTAATGCATTGTCAAACATGCAGCCTGCTTGGCAGCAAGTGTCTTTAAACAGCATGACAATGATATTTAATGAAATAAATCACATAAAATATCCCACTTAAGGCAGACAAAAGTTACAGCTTTTAAATTTTAGATTTAAACTAGGTGTGGGACTTGATTAAAAATATTAATCTATTTAATTAGAGGCTTTGTAATTAATTAATCTTGATTAATCGCATTTAATCGCACAAGAAAATTTGTCCCTCAAAATTTTTAATTTTTTTTATTTTAAAGGATTTTAGTCGGCGACAGAATAAATAATAGACATGGACATGAATATTGTAAACTCGAGCTCTTTTAACTTATGGGGAAAAATGTTTAAGCAGTCCAGATAATTTAAGCTTAACTCAGGAGGGAGTCCAAGCCTAATAATACCATATTAAACTATGAGGTTAAACTGTACAACCTTGAAATATGAGAATTTCGAAACAGAACAAATGTTTCTTTCATTATCACCACTCTACAAATGGTGATAATCCTCCTATAAACTGGAAAGTAAATAGGAGCCCTCTAATAAAAAGATCATTAACGTAAACTGAACCAGTCCAAAAAAATATCAGTTGAAATTTTTAATACTTGAACCGTAATCAAATTAACAATCGTACCAAAATCACTACCACCAATAATAATACTAATAATATAACACATGATGCCATGATTTAAAGAAACACATGAGGAACAAAGTCATTGACATCTCTTAGTCCAGAAAGAGTTACAAAGTCATTTCTTTGGCTTAGCGACTCCACGTTGAGAGCTATTATCTACCAATGGAAAAACCTTGGAACAGTGGTGAAACTCCCCAGGTGTGACTGGCCCATAATTTCTCCAAGAGTGCATCAACAAAAATCCAAAGAACTGCAGACCTCACTTGCCTTGCAGTTAAGGTTAGGGTTCATGATTCAACAATAAGAAAAGAACAGGCAAAATTGCATCTATGGGAGATTTCAAGACATAACCCAATGATTACCAAAAAGAACACAAAGCCTCATGTCACATTTGCCAGAAATCATCTTGATTATCCCCAGGACTTGGGGGAAAATACTCTGTGGACTGACAAGACAAAAAGTGTACTTTTTGAAAGGTTTGTGTCTTGTTACATCTGGCATAAAACCAAGACAGCATTTCATAAAAACATCATATCAACAACCACCAAATGTGGTAGTGGTAATACAATGAGATGAGGCCGCTTTGTTCAATTTGTGCTTTTTTCTTCACCTAAAAATATTTTGTTACCTAAACAAAACCAAATAGTAACCACAAATAAAACAAAAATCAAAATGGGAGTGACGTGCATTGGTTTTCTAAGGAAAAGGTAGCATCGATCGTCAAGCATTTTTTCTTTAAACAGGTGTTGTGTATATCAGTGGCATCATGGTCAGAAGCATGAATGTCAAGAATGTCAATTTTGCCCTTTTAATTGTTTGTTTGAACTTGTCTAATTTCAGGGTTTAATGATCGTGCAGTATCTTTATTGGCTTAAAAACCAACAACTCTGATCTCAAGTCTACACAAATACATGTCTGCACATAATAATAACTGTTTCTGGGAAAACCATCACATTTCAATCCCAGCGCCAACATACTTTGGCCTTTCTGATCGTATTTCAGCTACTCGGTACTAGAGATGGCACGATACCACTTTTTTATGTCCGATACCGATACCGATATCATAAATTTGGAT